CGACACAGACACAGCTACAAAGACTAGCAAGTTAGCTTATGTTTTATCTGTTCTGCATATATCTGACAGCTTAAATTCTGCTTAAGGTTATTTCCAAAAAGCAGTGAGCTAAAGAAAAACACTAACTTCACGCTAGCCAATGACCTCACTGGTTTGGACTGCAGCTCCTGTTCCCATTCGTGGATGACAGAGCATTTATTCTTTGAGCCTTTACCCCGCCTCTGCTGTCTTTTCTGTTTTGTTTGCTCTTTTCCAGTTCTTCATCATTTCAGATTCATAAGCTGAGCTATTATTGCCACACTGGTCAGCCGAAAGCAGGGATCTAACAGGATGCCTGACTTTTCTGCTGAACTGTGCCATAAAGAGCCACAACAGAGATTTTCCACTGTTATTAGAAGATGAAAAGACATCTTAGGCCTGGCGTCTTTACTGACATTACAGAATCCAGGTACTGTACTGCCTCTTGAGTTATAGACAAGCCTCATATGGGATCCCTGTTTTCTGTCTGTCGCTGCTCCTTCATCACAGACAGGAAACTGTGCACCATGTTGCAGAGAACAGTAGCTACTGTGGCACAGCTTTGATTTATGTCTACTACTGTCAGTTGTGTTATTAGTACCACTATTAGCACACATACGCGATGAGGTATATGTTACCTTGTCACAAACGTTAAGCCATATAACCTCTTTACGTGATTACGAGTTTACCCATGTTCATAACAACTTATTGAATTTTTGCATGTGGTAGCTATAACTTCTGTTTGTTAGACTACTCATGAGAGTTATAGAACCATAGTAACAATGCTACTGACGCATTCTCCAAAAAAGATATTTTATTTCAAGGCAAAAATAAAAGTGAACAAGTATAACTGTAATGAAAATGATGAGTTATTAATTTCTCATTGTACAAAGAACCAATAAGGCTAAGAATAGTAACCATTAAAGTCCACTTTTAGCTCCCCCCCTGTACCATATCTGGCTACATTTGATTTTTTGAGTTGTTTGACTTCTCCTAATGATATCACCACATGCTCAGATGTCAGTAATTAACTTAATGAGTGCAATCTTACTATAATCTGTATCCATAACGACTTAAGAATGCAATGTTTTGGATATAACCCTTGTACTCTGATTAGCTTGGGCGAGCATCCCACTATGGGAACCTTTCTGGGAGCCCTAATTAGCAGCTCAAATACACCAGCCATGACTGACTGGCACTTGTGACACCAATGCAGGAAGAGTTGGGATTCCCCTACTATATATTAAGCTGACTAACAGTCAGTTCCTTGTTTCTATAGCAAAGACACTGGCTATTAGATTTTCACTACCTAACTATCCATAAGTTTTATTTATATAGCATTCATTTGAAATCTTTCTACGGGGAAAATACTGATTCCTGGATTATCTCCAGTTACACTTGATAGAGGAGGGTCCTCATCCTAAAAAGAGCCTGCATTAAGGCTTGGGTGCACTGGGGTCAGTGACCCAATCCTTAAGTGGACATCTTACTTAAAAACACTAGAGGACAGGCCCAGCATGCAGCTATGCATGTTGTTTGAGAGAAACTCGCTTTAAGTGTGTGGACAAGGTTGCCAGGTCCCTGGTGGAATGTTCACACAGGCCATCAGGACACTAAAGACTTCCTCTACAATACACTATTTTTTATTTAGTAGAAATAATTCTGTATAGACACAAGTTATCCCATGTGTGGTTTTGACAAAAGAAACAAAACAAAATCCACAGTGCACAGACTGGACACTGACGACTATGTGAACAACAGTGAGAAAGAGGAAAGGGCAGCGAGCTGCATGTGTAAACACAAGCTTATGCTTTCTGTGAAAAATGCAGGATTAGGCTGCATGCTGACCTTGATTTTCCTGAGGGTAACTGCATGTATGTTTGATACACAGAAAGTACATGAATCTCCGCTATGTGCTGAGCTGTTGCCTTAGCCTTCTCAAAAAAGGTCCTGCAAAAATGACAGCAAACGTCCCACAGAGCACTGAAAAGGACAGGTTTTGATTCTTAGCACCAGCCCAAAAACACATACCAATTACTTTTATAAAGCATCCTAGTTAATGACGCTCTGTTATTGATACTTAGAGGTAGAGTAAGTAGTTGTTACAGGGTATTTAACAGGAAAAAATAATATTCTATTCATAAATAAGCATTGAAAAGTGTGTAATTATATCTGCCAACAAATTGATGCTTTCTCAAAAATTTAGAACTAATACATTAAAAATACATAGCAGTGGTGGAACCGCAGTGTTGCCCAGCAAACTTGTATTCGTGGACTGAGATGGAAATTGCTGTTTTACCTAATTGGGTTTTATGTATGTAGCTAGAGACCAGCCATACAGAGAGAACACCTTATGAGTTACTTTGAATTTAAAAATCACAAAAAGCACTGTCAGACATTTGTACTTGTATATTTTCATGATCGTTTCTCATGATGTCGTTCTCTTGCACTTCTTCATCTGCCTCCTCCACCACTGCTCTCTCTCATCCCTAATTACCACCTCATCTTCCTCATCTTCACCTCAGCCTCATCTCCTGAATTGAAGTTTATTTATTTCCAATATTGCCGCAATTACTTATTGTCAGCAGACTAGACCGGTGACCCTCCCATCTCCAAACAGCTGACAACTCGCTGGCTAAACAACAACAATAACTGGTTATAAGCAAACAGCATACCAGCTAACATCAGGTCTGAGTGTCCTAAAAATCACACATTTTCACATCGTATGAGAGTTTATACACTAAACTCATGATTTAGTCATAACTAACTAATGGCTTATGGACACTATCAGGCCTTGCTAGATAGCTTATGTAGCTTGTGAAAGTCACTATTTTCCCAGGCCAGCAGCACTGATACCTGCTGAAAGGCTTCCCTAATACCTTTAGCACAGATGCTGATAGGTTTCCGTGATGAAGAAGAAGAGGTTTCTGAGTAGAGTTGTGTTAGTCTAATATATAGGAGGAGTCATTCCTGACATAGCTATCACTAATGCCAGCTAATCAGGGCCGGTATAATCGGATTTGGGCTTCTGATGTCACCCAGGACCAGTTCCCATGGTGAGACAGAAAACAAATACTATGGAAAAGAAAAACCTCCAGGAGCTGCAATGACCTGAATTTGATTTTGAATCTAAGAGTGCTATCAAACGTAGGAAAAAGAGGATATAAACACATGCATGTCCATATTAGATCCAAACCTTAGGCTTAACGCAATCAAAACCCACATCCAACATTAACTCAGTTCCATTGTCCGCAACATTTTTTTTCCTAAATGAACCATTTCACCAGATGATTTCATTATTGTCTCCAGGAAATTTACTAAACAATTCAAGTTGTTACAAGTCACCAATGGCACAAATTCCCAATGTTCCCTGAGAATCTATGCATCATCTCCTGCTTGAGTGCCTTCATAAAACCCTTAGACTGCAGGCCAGACACTGGAAATCCAGGCAGCAACAACATCCTTCCTCAGGCCTCTAGGAAGTGACCTCAGCTTCAGAAAGGCCAGATAAAAAAATCCACATCAGGAACAAAAACACCAGGCTGACTGTAATGAGCTCTCCACTCGGCTCCAGTGTGTTCTGTGGGAGACCAGGTGGTGTGACACACATATGACTCTGATTAAGGGGCCTTTAGATGAACAAGAGGACAAGGGGGGCAAGTAGGGCGGGCTGTGCAGGGGGCAATCGAGACCTTGCGCATATGAGGCAACGATTAATGCTGTTCAATGACCTCCAATAGACCCAAAGATGTTCCTGCAGACATGAGTGGTCAGTTTCCCACTTGTGTTTCACATATAAAAGCACTGTTTCTGCACTGTTTTCTTTTAAGAAGCGACAGTGAAGTGACAGCACAGGCCTTAGTGGCAGATAGTCTGATATACTTCTCTGCAGTCTTTAGATGTCACTACAAACTCTGGCCAGAAGAACTATCTCATGTCTATATCTCATATAATCAAAACATTTCTTTTTAGCAGAACAGTCAAATAGCTGAGAGCAGTCAGCGCCTTACATGTGTTGCCTGTATCCCTCACTAACATCAAATAACAGAGAGGTTTCACTCTGGCGTCTGTAGGCTTATAATCTGACTTGTGCTCTGCACATGTCCTCAGAATGTGAGAGTGAAAGATGTCAAGGGCACCTCTGGCCTCATTTTCAACAGTTAGTTTCATCCTGGCGCATTGTGCCACGTCTGGCTGGACCGTTTAAATGTCTCCTGATATCAGGCAGCATAAACAAGCAGGCCTGCCTGTTGGGAAGGATAAGGAATGAAGGGGAAACAGAGGCCATTCTTCTGCATGTGCGACAGGAATTGTGTTGGAACAAGCACCTGTCAACCCCCACCAATGACCGCAGAGAGAGGGAGAGAGAAGCAGATGACAGAGCAAGGAGAGAAAGAGGGCACCAATTGAAAGAAAAGTGGATCAGTCTGTCCAACTTTTTTCCTCCCTCTCCTTCATGTTCTTCTCTCCTTCCAACTCCTCCTTTCTCTCGCTGCCTCAAACAACTTAATCTCTCTAAATTACATTCCAAAGCAGGCATATGCTCCAAAGTCCCAGACTTACTGCTTCACAAACCAGATACACATCTACATAATATCTGCATAAATACTTTGCATTGATAATAAGGAGAAACAGCTGCCAAGGCTATCCTACTGCCCTTTATTACAACTTCCTCATTCTTCGTCCTCCGCCATCACCTTCACTTGTTCTCTGCATTAACTCGACGCCAGTTTTTTCTTTTTTTTAAATAGACAAAGCGGAGCAGCATCTCTGTGACCTTCAGCCTCCACCTTCAAGTACCCTCTAAAAGACAGAGCTGAAGAATGCTAGGCACAGCACAATTTCACACCTACAACATGATAAGAGACTCAGGGAGAGAGAAAAAGGGAAAGAATGGTAGTAACATCAATTTATCGCCCTCTGAGATGACAGCTATTCCGCTCTATCCGTTTCAAGACTGCTGCAATTTGTGCGTTTCTTACCTCTCTGTCCTTTAACTTCATGGCCAGAACCAGCTGGTTGCGATGGTTGGTCAGCGCTTCACGGTAGTTCCCCTTGGAGAAGAATGCCGAGCCCAGATTCCCGTGAGCACGGCATTCCCCTGTTTGGTCACCTGAAGAGGGAAAACCACAAGGGATGAGAATGAAATTTCAAGAGTTAACAAATAAAATTTACAGTAAAGCTCGGAGGATTGCAAACCAGTCGGTGATTATTTCACATCATTCCACTGTCACTGTCAAACAGGGACGTGATGAACCACATCTATGCCACTGACATGCCATCGCACCCTTAAAAGGGAAAGTGCCGTTATAACCCGTTATAAGTTCTCCACAGTAGAGTGCCTTTTCTGACAGCTGGTAGTGTTGATCTCAATGCTCCAGAGGGTGAAAGGGGAAAGCCTTATTATTTCTTCCTGACAGAGAGGCCCCACAGACAGGGCCAAAGTAAAGCACAAGTCTCTGTGCTCTACCTGAGAACCACAGCTCCTTATCTGCAGCTGTGCTGCCCAGTCATGTGTCAAACTGTGTGGGGGTAAAAAGAGTGGAGCCAGTCTGTGCTACTCCCTGTTTTCATTTTTTCTATCTTCCCTTCAGAAGTTTTTTCCCTTTCCTTTCCTGTCTTTCTCACCTTTTCATATATTAATCCCAAACGGGCAAATCCATACTTACTGCAGGCATTATTTATTTTTGAGCAAACAAAATAGAAAATTCCCAGCAGCGACTGGAATTTGACCATTTTAGTGGAATATATTCAGATGGAAAGATACACAAAAGAGACAAAAAAGAAATAAACTTCACTGGAAGGTCACACTAACAACTTTTATACTGGAACTCATCACGATACACAAGAATTAGTCTAAAGTATTTGCTACATTGAACATGTACAGACTGCTTTGTAGAGTGCACGTGCCTGTTATGCGTTACCGGGCAAAACAAGCTCTTCAGTTTTTTGTTTTGTTCTGAACCTCGAATTTTTGAACTGTGTTTGTGTGACATGGGTACGTTAAATGGACTGGTACTTATACGGCGCCTTCCTTCTCAGCTGAGTACTTAAAGTGCTTTCTCCTGCAAGTCTTATTCACCCAATCACACACACATTCATACGACGCTTTTATCTTTGCCTGAGCACTTTCTAACATTCGCATGCACGCACACACACGCGCACACACGTGCACACACGCTCCGATGGATGCATCAAGAGCAACTCAGGTATGAAAGTAAGCAGAGACGCAGTACATGAGTTATGTAAGGCTGGAGTTGAGGACAAGAATGCGTTTTGATTAGGGCTAGCATTAGCATGCTGTAATGCTTACAGTGATATCTATGTGGCTAAACATACTGACAAGGTGATCGCTAACAGCCAAAGCTTAATGCTCAAACACTGTTCAGACTGTCCTCGTGCTTACATCTACTTTAAGCACAAAATATACTGCAGCTAATGGGATCATTTTATTTGGTCACAAACTAAAGAAACAAACAAATTAGATCAAATCTTTCGTAATTTCACAATGGCACAAATAACAAAGTTAGAAGATTACATAAAACCACAGTGTTCATTCTCATTAATAACCACCCAACAGCTGCTGACTGACTGACAGACACTGTCATCACCAGTCCAAAATACTGTATGATGACTGATCACAAAGATTTCACTCATTTATTAGCTATTTACATAATTTAACAAGAAAAAATGACAAAGGTCTTATGAGGATCTGAGCATTTTCTCTCTATTATTTATAGTTCAAGATTGTTTCATTTTAAACAATAGGGCACAATAATGAAATGCCACACTCTGGGAACTTTTGTGTCTAAGCAATCTATATTAACCTATATTATCTGCATCCAGTCACCCCGAGTCAGGGGTCTTACCTAAGGTTTTGGCCACTTCCAAGTCCTGCTGCATGTAGCTCGTGCTCTTCTCTGTGTTGCCCAGGGACCAGTGAGCGCTGCTGAGGGCAGAGAAGACGGAGCCGCGTAGCTTGAGGCTGCATGTGCCGATCTTCAGTGCGGCTTCTAGCACCACAACAGAGGCCGTGTGGTGGCATGCTGTCAGCAGCTCCTGGCCGATCACAGAAACCACCACAAATGGACTTTTGTCCAGCTTCATCTTTTGCAGCTGCTGATAGGTGGGCTCGAGAGACTCTGTGCAGGAGAGACACAAGCAAGCCAAGATTAGAAACAGACTACAGATTATTCCAATGGAGAAACTTGTTCTGACACTCTGATGGGCACCGATATCTGACACTGACTGCAATAACTGTTACGTGTTTAACGTCTCCGACAAAGGTGACTGTTGTCTGAATTTAGATTCTACTTTTCCTCCAGTAACAGTTGTGTTTTGTCTGCCTCAGTAAGCATAGCCTGCAGCCTGACTGACTGCTTTCACTGACAATTTAACAATAACTCAATATACGAGCCATTTTTCTGTTCTTCCACTCTGACTGGAGTGATCAGAGGCAATTTCCAACAGTTCTGTGTAGAAATAGCAACAGTTTAGACCACTGGGGGCAACTGTCTTTACAAATCACAGAGCAAAACCAAATTTGTGCCTTTTCCTTCAGCTAGTACGGATATTTGAGGGAATTTAAGGGAATGACGCACGATGAGTAGGTTTTGAGACAGTTTTAAGAGTGATGGGGAAACGACTGCAGCTGAAGCATAGCAACAGCATCGGTGGAGAAATGGAGAGCAAAGGAGATGCAGAAAGGTGACCTCCGAAGAGGCTGAAAATACACACAATGACATAAATCAATGGTGGGCCACGTGGGATTTGGGATTCAAAGGCCCCTCCAGACTTGCAAAGTCCTCCGGCAGATATGAGCATCAAACCACATGAAGGGTGAGTAAGGGAGGCTTACCCAGTTATCTATTTTTTCTGCCGTCTACTGATGCATTAGCGTTCTTCTGTGTTTAAGTACGCATTTGAATTCATCAGAGTAAATTCACACGGCCCTGTATTTGCAAATGTCCCGAGGAGAATTGCTACTAATCAGGGCAAAGCGCTTCACAGAAGTCCGTGCCTGTACAAACGGGTACGCGTGACCAGATGTGTAGTCTACAATTCGTCGTAACTCAGTCTGAGAAACATCCACAGATGCTAATTCACCTAGACACACACACACGCACAATATGAGATGCATCCTCACACAAGCACTCAAAAGCATAACTGATGATGCTCTTTCAAGAGTGTCGCTTCTGTTCCAGGACTTGGCAGAGTGTCGTGCTTATGGAGACAGTGCGTGCATATAATATCCATTCATAGCTTGTAATTGCTGTCGGAGTGACATCAAGAGCTGACTCATAAATCAAACACTGAGAGAATGCTTTTTAAAAAAGGTGTCATGGCTGCTGCATTCATTCGTTAAACAGGTAGTTATGACAACATCTGACTGTATTGTTTCACACACATACACTGGCTTACAAACAAACGCTTAAGAGAATAGAGTCGTGGGCCAAGAGAGTGCTGTGAAAAAAGGGCTGAGAAAGACCCCGTTCTGATTTCTGATTCTTTTGCATATTTGTCACAAGTAATTGTTTCAGATGATGACATTAGTTTTATTATTGTACAGATAACAACTGTAATTTTTTTTTTTTTTAAATGCAGTTTTTAGATGATTATTTCATTGGTTAGGTAAAACACCTATCTAATAACGGGTTGTGCCACCCCTGGCAGCAAGAACGGAGGTCAAGTGTTTGCAATAACTGGTGATTCTTTAAGTGTGGATTTTGAATAGACCACTCCAAAACCTTCATTTTGTTCGTTTTGAGCCATTCAGAGGTGGACTTGCTGGTGTGTTTTGGATCATTGTCCTGTCACAGAACCAAGGTCTGCTGGAGTTTCAGGGCACAAATCGATGACATTTTCCTTCAGGATTTTCTGGTAGAGAGCAGAATTCACTGTTAGAGCAAGTCGTCCAGGTCCTGAAGCAGCAAAGCAGCCCCAGACCATCACACTACCACCACCAGTGTTGGTCAAGTTACTTGAAAAAAGTAATCTGTAACTACTTACTGATTACTTCCCCCAAAAAGTAATCCCGTTACTTTACTGATTACTCATTTTCAAAAGTAATTAATTACTTAGTTACTTAGTTACTTTTTAAAAACACGATTTACAACCTGAAGAGGTGATAAAGCGATAGAGCTTTCAGCCCAATTCTACCTTTTCTGCATAATCCATCATACAAAATGTAATCAAATGGAAAATTATCTTTTTTTTAACTTGTTTTATCAGTTTTAATCTTTTAACTTTATGCATCAAGCAAAAATTTTATTATATGCAACATTCTCTGACTTGAATAAATTAGTTTAACATTTAAACCTATTTTCTGCACATTCCAGCACATAAAATAAAATATTTTTTGTGTTTACACTCAGTCTTTCAAATAGATGCAAGTAAAACACAGCAGAAAATAAATAAAGTCAAAGACTAGCGGTCCTTTTGCTCTATTTTCACCTGTAAAGCAGGAGTAGGTAGGCGGAGGTTTACCCTGGTGCAGGTGTCGCTGCGGTCAGTGAAGAATCCGCGAGTTTCTCTGTGAATTTCCCATTACGTCGTTGCGCACTCGGTGCTTGTTTAGGGGTTTTTTCGCTGTAAAAAGAAGTTTTCTTCCCACGCACAACGGACACTAATGTTTTTGTCACTTTTTATGGAATCAAACTCAAAGTAAGGTCAGTACTTCCACGCTTTAAACGCTGCACGCTAGAGCAGGGCGATATGGCCAAAAATATTTATCACGATATATATTTGAAAATTTGCGATAACGATATAACCGACGATATAATTGATGCGAGACAAAATACAACTCCACAACATTACTAGCGCAAAAAGACAACCTTCCATTTATTTTCACTTAAACAAGAAGCTGGTTTTTATGTACATTAAAGCTTTATAAAAATGTAACAGTGCAAATGCAAATTCCTTGCTGAAAGTTTAACCAAAAGGCATTTCCAGTAGAAATGGGCTGACATATCCTGAGCATAACCATGTATAATATCCACTGAAGTTAAAAAGAGGTGCTTTGCAACATTAAACTGCAGTGTGCAGTACGTATTTTTCGGACCATAAGGTGCACGGGATTATAAGGCACATTAAGCGAAACAAAGCAGTCAGATAAATCAAACTTTATTAAACTCATTCTTCTTGCTTCCTCCACTTCTGTACCATTGATTCATTAATGTTGAATTCTCTGGCAGCTGCTCTATTCCCATGTTGTTGCAGTATATTAATGACTAACCTCGTATTGTGGATGGATTATCTCAGTTGTTCTCCTGACTGAAGTTTGGTCCGTTTACAGCATCCTGCCATGCGATTGCATTTGTCTCTAACCATGAAACCTTCACGTTAACTTTTATAAGTGGAAAAGTGTTAGTGTTCGTCCTCCAGCTTCACTGTTTATGTTATGCTAACATAGCTGTGTCGCTAGCGATCACGTAGCACATCATTATATACCAGCTAGCCCAACTTCAGTAACCCTACAAACGTCACTGCTGTTTAGTTTCCTGTCTTCATTTATGTTGGAAGTGATAGCAGAGCTGTACGTTTGATTTTTTTCAGAAATCTCTCAGTCAGAACATGCAATATCATGCTTAGGTAACTAGCGAAACTAGCGAGCTAACTTCCGCTAGCTTCCTGCTAACTTCTAACTCCGTTAAATGTAATAAACTTTTGTTTTCATGGATGCCTGGAAGTTAAACTTCATAGTTACACCTGGTAAAGCAGCAATGCTGATCGTTTTATTAAAGATGAAAGAATTTAGACAGTTTTTAACTCTCAGTGATGCTGCAGTGTTGTTTGACCTGAAGCATACGGAGTTTAGGACCCAGATTACTCCCAGATTTAAGAGCATCTTAGTCCGACAAATACGACAATAACGACGGCCGCTTGCATGTTCTGCAAAAAAATGTGCTTTGTTGTGTATCTGACGGACAAACACCAAACCAGTTCCACATCACTGAAGTTGCACCATTTTTACAAACCAATTCTGGTTCATCTGTTTCACTCAACAATCGGCCATGTGCGTATGAAAACAAAGGCACTGCGCATGCGCGTTTTACTCCATTATCGCGATATTTCATTTTCCTATCGTTGCCTAACATTATACCGGTATTACCGTGAACGGTATAATATGGCCCAGCCCTACTGCACGCTCATACTCTCTCCCACAATCGATATATGATCCATTGTTGATCTGCACACAGCTGTTGTCACTAACGGCGCACTCGCTTACGTCACTGTCGTGAGACATTCTCGCAAAAAATCACGGTTTTAGTAACGCAGTAACGCAGCGTTCCTACGGGAAAGTAACGGTAATCTAATTACCGTTTTTGCAATAGTAATCCCTTACTTTACTCGTTACTTGAAAAAGTAATCAGATTACAGTAACGCGTTACTGCCCATCTCTGACCACCACCATGTTTGTTGGTGTGATGCTCTTTTTATGAAATGCTATTTTAGTGGGCTCGCCACTCACGAGAAGGTTCACCGCTGCTCCTCGTCTCACTGTCTCAAAGCCTTAGAAATAGCTTGTGTAACCTTATCCAGACTGTTTCTTTAGATCTGGGCATGATGTGTGTCATTTTGAGATCATTTAGTCTACTTCACTTTGTCAGACAGATTCTATTAAACAGATTTCTTAATCGAACAGGTCTGGCAGGTCTGGTGTGACAAGTCGAATTAAACTCAGCTTTCCAAAAAATGAAAAGAATGAAACCATAATTTAAGAACTGTATTTTTTATTTACCAAGGTGATCTTTACCTGATATTAAAATTTGTTTGATGATCTGAAACATGTACGTGTGACATATGCATATGCAATAAAATAAGAAGTCAGGAAGAGGGTGAATATTTTTTCCACAATACTGTATATGAAGCAAGAATAACAGCCCTCGTGTCGCAGAAAACACCTAACAGAACATCATAACGTTGTACCTCTTTCTCGCCTTTTGCCTTTTAATATTGCTTTTGCAGCCAGAGCCATACGTTCCTTTAGTGACTGGATATGTGCAGAGCATGAATGCATACAGTATCACTAATGCACCATAGTCTGCCTTCCATTTCATGTGAATAAAGATATAAGGCATGCACTCTCCCTCCTGCATTAAGCACACGTGTCATCAGCGGGACTGGTGAAGCTATAAAATAC